ATACCGCTAAACAAAAGACAGTCTCATCAATAACAGCACGAAACAAAAGACAGTCTCATCAATAACACCACGAAACAAAAGACAGTCAAATCAATAACACCACGAAACAAAAGACAGTCTCATCAATAACACCACGAAACAAAAGACAGTCAAATCTATAACACCACGAAACAAAAGACAGTCAAATCAATAACACCACGAAACAAAAGACAGTCTCATCAATAACAGCAACATATTCTAAAAGTTTTCGCTCATTATAGAATTTTAATAACCCAAAGGTGTTTTACCGTAACTCTAAATGGTTTCTGAAGAGGTTATTTTTCAGAGCAAATTATTATGAGTCAGTCAAAAACTTTTCCTCCTAACCCTAATGAACTGATATTTTTTACCACCCTCTTGTTTACATGTTCGTCTGATTCTCTCTCTCTCTCTCTCTCTCTCCCTCTCTGTCTCTCTCTCCCCCTCACCCTCTCCCTGTCTGTCTGTCTGCCTGTCTGTCTGTCTATCTTATTTCGTTCTCCAGGTAAAGTTGGTGATTATTGACTGATGTAAGCGGACGTTTAGTGTACCTGAAGCTAACATTGACACTTTTGCTCAACTCACCTTTACCATCTCGCTTAACTCGCTAAATTCCACGGATTATTAATTCATCTTTTTACTTTCTAACACCAAAAAAATAAATAAATATTATAATGTAGTGTATGTGTGTTTGTCGTCGATAGTTTAGATAAGGTATAGAAGTGAATATATTAACGTGAAGTGAGTTAGGAAGTGAAAAATGTTTATGAATATTGATGAAGAAAAAAAAATTCAATGCTGTTTATCGTTCAGGGAGGGTTCCAGGAGTGAGCGATATTTTGTGGAATAATATCGATCAGACGACCAATAATAATTTCATGATTTATTCAACATTTCTTCACTATGTTGTAAATAGTTGATGTGACCAGCTAGTTTCTTTCTCCTCCCCCCCCCCCTTCCCTTCTCATGGTCTTCTATTCTTCCCTTGCCCTTCTCTTTCTCCCTGCCTTCTCTTCTCTCCTTCCCTACCCTTCTACCCTTCTCCTGCCCTTCTCTTTTCTCTTCCCTTTCCTTCTACCCCTCTTCTCTCCTGCCCTTCTCTTCTCTTCTTCCCTTCCTTCTACCCTTTTCCCTGCCCTTCTCTTCTCTCTCCTTCCCCTTCCCTTCTACCCTTTCCCTGCCCTTCTCTTCTCTCCTTCCCCTTCCCTTCTACCCTTTCCCTGCCTTCCTCCCATACCCTCCCGCTCTCCCCTCCTCCCCTTGCCCTATTCCCCTTCCCCTGCTTTCCTTCCCTATCCGTCTTCCCTTTCCTGCCCTATCCTTCTCTTCACTCTCCCTCCTCCCATTACACACTCTTTCTCTCCTCCCTCTCCCTCATCCTTCTCCCTCATCCTTCTCCCCGCACCAGTTATAGATTGTACAACCCTGATATATTTATACGCGTGGAATGAATCGATTTTCCGGGTCACATGGTTGAGAAATCGCACCATGATTTCCGTCGACGACAATTTGTGGGGTTGATTGCTTAGCGTCCTGTCGACACGTCTTGGCTATTGCTGAAGCGTTCTCCCGATCACTACGTTACTGGTTAAGGCTTACGTTAGTGCCAGAATAAATTTTACGATAGTGGACAGAGTTTTACGTTAGTGGACCGAACTTTGCGTTAGTGGACAGGGCCTTACGTTAGTGGACAGACAGAGCCACAATTTTCCACGTTACGTTGGTGGTAAGCTATAAGTGGCTTCTCGCTCAGTATTGACTTATTAACACCCTTGAGTACGATGATTTAATACCTTAGTTGATATTTGATGATTTGAGTTGATATTTAATAATTTGAGTTGATGTACGATATTGTGTGTGTGTGTGTGTGTGTGTGTGTTTTGACATTTATTAATGTGTGTACGTGGGGGGGGTGTGCGTGGGTGTGAGAGCGTGCGTGTGTGTGTGTGTGTGTGTGGGCGAGGGGCGAGGGGGGAGGGGAGTGGGAGGTGTAAGTATTGACCAGAAGTGTGGCACACATTCTGTCACTTACCGGTCACTGTCTCAAAATAGATCAGTAACTCACGAGAGGACATCCAGCGGTCACCCATTTCACCACAACGGTCACTCACTCAACCACAGCGGTCACCCTAAATAATATAAGTCAACTAATCCCACCCGCCATTTTAGACAAGTGTTAATGGAAGCGGTCCCCAGTGGATGTGAATTTTTCCCTCACTGTTTTTTGTGGTTCTGATTCAACGTGAAAAAAAAGAGAACCCTTGTGATATCGTCCATTATGACTCTATTCGACAACAAAATCATTATATATTACTAATTTCCTGTTTATTTAGATGATAATGACTGTGGTTTTATGAGTTATATGATATTTACCACTGATATATATTTTATGACGTTTTCTGTGTAATGGATCCTAGTCCATGTGAAAAAAAGTGTTTGTTTATATACGGATATTAACTTCATTTGTCAACAGTTATTAAATTGATATAACCTTCTTGTTTTTTTTTTAATATAATGTTGGTGGTTATAGTGATTAGTGGTGGATTATAACACTTTATATGTACTTTACGTGTGTGTTGTGGTTCCTGGTTAACGTGAGAATAATAGTTTCGTATTTACATAAACGTGGTCATATTTCTTAGCTCTCAGAAAGGTTGTTTGAGTTAGTGTTTCATATCATTACTCCGTTCCTAATTTGTTGTGGACTTAGACTTAAAGTTTCAAAGGTTCTTAGGTAATATTTTGGGATCTGTGTTTATGAACTCAAATGCCAATGTCAGCTTAACTTTAGACTCTTCATCTTAACACACACACACGCACACACACACACACACACCCACTCGCAAACACACACACACGCACGCAGGTTAATTGTGAGTAAACATTATATCTGGTCGTCTGTTCGGTGATTTGAGTACAACAACTTAACCTCTTGAGTACAACAACTTAACCCCTTGAGTACGACAACTTAACCCCTTGAGTACGGCAACTTAACCTCTTGAGTACGACAACTTAACCTCTTGAGTACAACAACTTAACCCCTTGAGTACGACAACTTAACCTCTTGAGTACGACAACTTAACCTCTTGAGTACAACAACTTAACCTCTTGAGTACAACAACTTAACCCCTTGAGTACAACAACTTAACCCCTTGAGTACAACAACTTAACCCCTTGAGTACGACGACGACGACTTAACCCCTTCAATATGACGCCAAGTACTATGTGATCTTATTAATGGGGTTATTATATCTATCTCGCTGTACTTCAAAAGGTTAAAGGTCATATATATAGACGAATGACCTTATAACTGAGGTCACTGTTTACGATCGTTATGTTGTGTTGCGTTTCTAAGGGAATTACTGAGTTTGTATACCGTATAATACCTTAATAATATACCACATAACTACTGTTGTATTCTGATGTTGGTGTTGCATTCTGATGTTGGTGTTGCATTCTGATGTTGGTGTTGCATTCTGATGTTGGTGTTGCATTCTGATGTTGGTGTTGCATTCTGATGTTGGTGTTGAAATCTGATGTTGGTGTTGAAATCTGATGTTGGTGTTGCATGTTTCTGTATGTTGGGTTTGGATTTTGATATATAATGATAATGTTGCATGTTGCATTCAGTTTATGTTTTACAAGTTTATATTGCATGTTGATGTGAATGTTTATGCTGCATTCAGTTAATATTTTACGTGTTTATGTTGCATGTTGATGGGAATGTCTATGTTGCATGTTGATGGGAATGTTTACGGTGCATGTTGATAATAAACATTTTATATTGTATGTTGATGTTAGATCTATTTCATACTCGTAATAAATTTCATCCTAAGTTACAAATCAAAATGGAACATTGCATAAAATTGTTGAAAATACTGCAAATACTCACATCATTTGTCTTAAGTAAAATTAACAGTTGAAAATTACAATTATTATTTTCATATAATTGTTAATTTGTATTACTCTCTTTTTCTGATTTTATTTGATTTTTTTTTACTTTTTATATTTAATTTTCTTATTAATTATTTTTTTTATCCAACAATATTCTGATTTATTTCAAATTTATTCATGTTTTGGTTAATGTGTTAATTTTACCATTATTTTAACCTTGTAATCTATGTTAATATGATTTTTTCCTCTTATATGGAACACCACGCAACACCACGTAATACCACCGGGCAACATCACGCAACATCACACAACACCACGGAACAGTTCCTTCTTTTTCCTTATTGTTAACACTTTTCTCACCAATTGCTTTCCATCTCCTTCCTCCAGACAGTAAGACAGGGTTGTAATTTCTGTCACTTGGCTCTTACTGTCTCATACGTTTCCTTTCTCCGTCTCTTTCTCTGGTTCCTCATTTTGCTTTTATTTTTACTCTCTTGGGAAGTCCCTTTGAGATGTGATACTTATTCCTTCAGTAGTTTTCGTTCTGATTTTAATTTCTTCTTCTATTTTACTTCTTCTCTTATTTTTCTTCTTCTCTTCTTTTTCTTCTTTTCTTCTTTTACTTTTTCTCTTCTTTGTCTTCTTCTCTTCTTTTTCTTCTTCTCTTCTTTTTCTTCTTCTCTTCTTTTTCTCCTTCTCTTCTTTTCTTGTTTTCTTCTTTTTCTTCTTCTCTTCTTTTTCTTCTTCTCTTCTTTTTCTTCTCTTCTTCTTCTTAATGGGTTAATTATGTTGTGTTTCTCTTGTTTATTTTTCGTTCATTCGTTTTCTCCTCTTTTAACTATTTCTCTGTAATACAAAACATCTCTCCCTAGTGGCTCTTTTATCACCTACCCCTAACCATCTCCTCCTCTATATAGTGTCTCTCTCTATCTCCCTTTTCTAACCACAACTTCAGCCTCTAACACCATCCCTTCTAACCTTTTGCTTCTGTATCGAGACATCATCCCCCGAACAAGCTTCCCATCCACCTAACCTAACCTAACCTAACCTAACCTAACCTAACCTAACCTGGCTTCCTCCCTATACAGTGGCTGTGTATTCCCTTCGCCTGGAACCATCCTGCAGTGGGTGACGTCATGTCTTTAGAGAAGGACTGGATCGGTTCGGTGCCCACTGATCAGATTGGACTTTATATGGACTACTGTCTCCTCCTCGTCTTCGGTGGCATCCCCTGGCAGGTGAGTCTTGTAGTCTATTGGCAGGTGTGGTCCTCCAGCACAGGTGAATCTTGTGGTTCCCTAATAGGTGAGCCTTATAGTTCCTTGATATGTGAACCATTTAGTATTGTGGTTTTCCAGCACAGGTGAGTCTTGTGGTTCTCTAACAGGTAAGTATTTTAGTCTCGAGGTCGTTTGATATGAGAGTAAGTCTTTCAACGGGCCTCTCATTCTTGCTGTATTTTAGCCAGATGTAAAAAAGTTCTGAAATTGCTTTATGACTTACTGTAGATTTATTTTCTAAAGTCAATCTCTCTCTCTCTATAAGAATTTTCACTTTTTGTAAATGTTTTTCTAGAAATGTTTATCAAGAGTCCTCATTTGTTTACATATGTTTCACTTTTTGTAAATGTTTTTCTAGAAATGTTTATCAAGAGTCCTCATTCGTTTACATATGTACTCCCCCTCTAGAGCTACTGATCAAAGGCTGTTCCGAGTGTATTTCCAGTCTACTCCTCTCTGTTCCAGGTGTTTTCCAGCCCATTTCTCTCCGTTCCAGACATAATACTAACCCACTTCTCTCCGTTCCAGGCATAATTCCAGCCCACTTCTCTCTGTTCCAGGCATAATTCCAGCCCACTTCTCTCTGTTCCAGGTATACTTCCAGCGTGTGTTATCCAGCAAGTCAGGCCACAAAGCTCAGATATTGTCGTACGTGGCGGCTTTCGGCTGTCTCATTATGGCTGTACCTCCCGTCATCATAGGCGCCATCGCTAAAGTCACTAGTAAGTTTCTAGTTTGGCAGAACCTCTTTGGGATGGACGGGATGATGGGGGAATTTGATGGGTTGAATGATGGGGTCTGATGGGTAGGATGATGGGGGAGTTAACTGTCTGAATGATGGGTGATATGATGGGTAGAATGATAGTAGAATGATAGGGGAATTTGATGGGTAGATCGACGGGATAAATGACCTGATGAGCACGATGATGAGGAGTGAATCTGATGGACAGGATGATAGGAAAGGAGATCTGATGAGTCGACCTGCCGTTCCAAATCACAGGTCACCTCTAATTAGATGTATCCAGACACTTGAACACACTATCCCTCACGTACAAGAAACATCCATTAGTTAGGTCATGATTAGCGCCATATAAAAAACACCCAAATCCTGGAAGATATCCTCAGGGCGTGTGTGTGTGTGTGTGTGTGTGTGTGTGTGTGTGTGTGTGTGTGTGTGTGTGTGTGTGTGTGTGTGATGTTTTTCTTCTCTCTATTGTGACTTGGCTGGGCGTGGCGAGGTGACCCAAGACAAGGTGATGGTAGCGGGTGTGTAAAAGATTCTTCCTGAGGTGGGGCACACACACACACAGACACACACACACACACACATACAGACCAAGACGTTGAAGTTAGTTTCCACTATTGACGTCACCTCGTTAGTCTTAGGAGGGAAAAACAGGTGTCTACTGTATAACCCTAAAACAGGCTTTTTTTATTTCCTGTTCTGCCTGTGCTTGTTAACTATACTAATTGGTGATTCAATTGGTGATAATGATAAAGAATAAAATTATGCTGTATATCGAAAAGTTTTTTATTATTTTATTGAATATTTAATGTCTCTTATTAATTAATTTAGTGTTTTATGTCTTGGTAACTAATTAATTACATTTAATCATCCTCTCTTTCTCCTTATCTCTCCTTCTTCTACTCCCCTTCTAATTATCATCTTCCTCACTTCCTCTATCCGTAATTTTCTTCTTTCCTCCATCTTTCTTCCGTCTACTCCATTTATTCTCCTCCATCTTTACACCGTCTCTTCCCTTCTCCCCCTCCTTCATCTTTCCTCCCTCTTCTCCCTCTTCTTCTTCCTCCATCCCCCTCTCATCCCCCCCTCCTCATCTTTCCTTCCCTCTCTTCCTTCTTCCTCCTCCTCTCGCCCTTATTTCCATCTTTCCTTCTTCCTTCCTCTCTTCCCTCCCTCTTCCATTCTCCTCTCTTCCTCTTCCCTCCCTTCTCGCCCCTTATTCTCCATCTTCTCCTCCTTCACTTCCTCCTCCTCTCCTCCCTCTTCCTTCCTCCCCCTCCATCATCCTCTTCCTCCATCTCCCCTCCCCTTCTCTTCTCTCCTCCTCATCCTCCACCTAACAGCCTGGAACGAGACGACCTTTGAGTGCGAGCCATTTGCCGACACCTGCATCACAAGTAACCACACAGCCATGGTCCTTCCTCTGGTCATTCAACACCTCACGCCCAGCTTCGTCTCCTTCGTGGGTCTGGGGGCCATCTCTGCCGCCGTCATGAGCTCCGCCGACTCCTCCGTTCTCTCTGCTGCCTCAATGTTTGCTCGGAACATTTGGAAACTCATCTTCAGGCAGAATGTAAGTACTTGAGAGGTGACAGTGGGGTGGGTTAGGTTAGGGTAGGTAGGTTGTGTGTGTTATATATATATATATATATATATGTATATATATATATTATATTATTTCCATGTGGATAAATTAGTGAATGATTTTGAATAAGACATTGATTGACATAGTCCCCCTCACCCCTCACCACTTACCTTACTCTTCAATCCCTCTTTCCCCCTCCTCCTCCCCCCACCTTACCTTACTACTCAATCCTCTTCCCCCCCTCCTCCTCCCCCCTCCCCCCCACCTTCCCTCCTCACTAATCCCTCTTCCCTCCTCCTCCCCCCCCACCTTACCTCACTACTCAATCCCTCTTCCCCCCCTCCTCCTCCCCCGCACCTCACTACTACCCCCTTGTCTCTTGATCCAGGCGAGTGAGACGGAGGTGATATGGGTGATGAGGTTCGCCATCTTCATAGTAGGGATACTCGCCACTACACTCGCCCTCACCATCCCCTCAATCTACGGTCTGTGGTAAGTGTTCCATCACCCATCTATATAATCCGTGGTTAAGTGTTCCATCTACTGTATAATCCGTGGTTAAGTGTTCCATCTACTGTATAGTCCGTGGTTAAGTGTTCCATCTACTGTATAGTCCGTGGTTAAGTGTTCCATCTACTGTATAGTCCGTGGTTAAGAGTTCCATCTACTGTATAGTCCGTGGTTAAGTGTTCCATCACCATTAGAGGTCAAAATAAGTGAAGGTATTAGAGTACAGTATCAACCATGTTCTTCCTTACGTATTGAAGGTTTAGTATTGGACTTTTTAACACTAATTTAAAGCAATTTGTTCCTCGGTTGTGTCGTGTTGGTCTAAGGTGGCTCACGCGGGAGTTATTTTATCAGTATTATATCTGTCTGTCTTGTTTTAGTTATTTTATGTTATATTATTTTGAAGGAATTTTATTTAACCTGTATCCCCTTTGTTTTGGAGGGATACGGTGGAACTGAAGTGTTATTTTCTAAAGACGAATTTCCCATTTTTTCTTATTCCTGTTGCTATTTTTTCTTTGATATTTACATTTTCCTTTTCTTTTTTACTTTTTTTACCCTAATCTCCATTTTCTATAGCTGCATATTCCCGTTTTCTCTTCTTCAGGTACCTGTCGTCGGATCTGGTGTATGTGATCCTCTTCCCGCAGCTGCTGATGGTCGTGCACTTCCGCAACCACTGTAACTTATACGGGTCACTGGGCGCCTACATCATTGGTCTCTTGGTGCGACTCACGGGCGGGGAGTCCATGATTGGCATCCCTGCTCTCATCAAGTGAGTACTGATATGATCTTCTCTGACTTCCTGTGACGTAGGAACGATCAATTTCTCTCTCTGTGTTTCCTGTCAAGAGAGGAATGACTTAGGAGGAAAGAAGGATTGAATATGTGTAGCAGATCGAGGAAATATCCGGGTTTTAAATACTTACATGAAATAAGTCACTCAAAAAAATCTTATGTAAAAAAAAAAAGATTCTCGAGGTTTAAGATAACGTAGATGATCGGCAAAAATCCTGGAGTAAAAGTTGCACTGACTGTGATGGGTCCCTCCTATAAGAGCCCCTAATAACAAATTCTAATAGCATAAACAACGACCTTAGTGTATCTAATGGGGTCAGATCAGGACTTCTAGGGTCACTTATATTAGACCAGGAAGATTTTTTTTTGTATAGACGACGAAAAATACACGGCACCGTCACGACTAATATACCACAAACAGCACTGTGGCTTTTTTAAACGGTTGCTGAGGACATGGGCATTGTCTGTCTGTTTTTGTATGCCACCTTCCACGAGAGAGAGAGAGAGAGAGAGAGAGAGAGAGAGAGAGAGAGAGAGAGAGCACCCCACATTCATCATATAATTACTCTGTGTTCCGTCTCTCCCCGCCAGGTATCCATGGTACGACGAGGAAGAACAAGTGCAGCTCTTCCCCTTCCGAACTGTGGCCATGGTCCTCTCTGGGCTCGTCCTCGTCTTCTTGTCTATGTTCACACGGTGGGTGTTTGAGACTGGACACCTCCCACCCAAGTATGACTTCCTCCGCTGTGTCATCAACATTCCAGACGATGTGCAAAAGGTTGGAGACCCGCAGGAGGGCGAGATGAGTGTCATGGCGTGTCACACTGTCGTCAAGTACAACTCTACCGACGAGATGAACGGCCGCGTCAATCCTGCCCTCACCCTCGGCTCTGACAGCGATGAGGATCTCCCCGCCCCTACCACCACCACCGCCGACGGTAAGGTCAAGAAACGACTCGTTGGTGAGATCATCTCTCCCCCTCCTATCACCTCCCCGAAGAAGCAGGACCAAACGAAGCTGTGAAAAAAGTAGAAAAAGTCGGAGTGTTCTTCTCCTCCGGCTTTTCGCGTCCCTTGACTCCAACACGCGCCTCGACGCTCAGTCCAGCAGCCACCGCGTTAACCTCAATGTTACTAACTGCCTAAAGTGAGAACTCTGTTCTATAAGAAGACTTACGAGAACTTCTCGTATTTGAAAACTTCATTTACTACTGATTATGTTCTCTGAAACCCAGAGAGACAAGGAATCTAGACCTCTACCCTGCGAGACCCGTGAGAGAGAGAGAGAGAACACTATCTCTCGAGATCTCGAGAGGTATTGACTCCCACTGCCCTTTGACAGCTTTGAAGTCATACTCAAGGTACCTAAAACCTATTGGAGTCAGGATTTAATTTCCCATGAATGACTGCAGTAGACCTGGACAAATTAGTAGTAAGGTTTGTGAGTGGGAGAGGGAGGTGAGGAGGAGGGGTAGACGCTCCGTTACCACCCCGCAGGCAGTAAACATCTCCACCACCTAACTCTGGCTGCAACTGTCTCAAGGAGAGCAATTGTTCATGCTTCTATTTTCTCTCTCCAGGGTACAACCCGTACCTATCCTTCCCCTCATGTATCTCCTCTCCTCACTCGCTTCCTGTCCCTCTCACTCTAAACATTCCTCCTCTCCCTGTGGCTCTCACATCTCTCCACCTCCTCCTCTTCTTTCCCTCTCTACATAAAAGAAAACAAGAATTTCATTTAAGCGATGAAGGTGTGCGTAGTCTGTGAATGTTGGTTATTTTTGTAGGCAATTAGATAGGTGTTTTCTAGTTAACGATTTGTCCTGTCTGGAGTGCTTGGTGACTACTGGCTTCGTACGTAGTGTAGCATCGCCTAAATGAAAACATGATAAGGGGGCGACATGAGATTTAACCATATTAGTTTTTCCTCTGCAACCACGAGACTTATAATGAGGGGAGGACTGGGTACCTCACCTTGTAGAACGCCGGGGAAAAACTCTTAACCCAGCTTACAACTCTCTCTCTCTCTCTCTCTCTCTCTCTCTCTCTCTCTCTCTCTCTCTCTCTCTCTCTCTAACTCAATTTTATCCTACATTTGTTTTCTCACAGCTACGATAAGCAAACCAATCAGCTGTTACTCATCAACCAGTAACCAATCAGGAACTTCCCAACACGAAGATTATATTAAATCTTATAAACTAAAGGAACGGTAATTACGATACCAGTCTTATATACAGTGTACAACCTCACTAGTCTCTCATAGTAAAGATATAAGCCCTTTCTAATTAATTAATTGCTATAATTTTACAAAAGAACAAATGAAGCGGAAATACAACCAATGAGGTGGCTCGTTATATAAAACAACCAATGAGGTGATATCTAGTAGGCTAAACCAATCATCTGCCTCGTAACATATACAGCATCTATTTACCGTTACTTATTATATCGTTAGAAAATAATAATAATAATAATAATAAAAATAATAATAATAATAATAATAATAATAATAAAAATAATAAAAATAATAATAATAATAATAATAATAATAATAATAATAATAACAACAATAAATATAATACCTTTGAAAATCGATGAACGGTTAGGAAAAAAAATACTACTTTGCCTCAAACTACAAAAAATATTTACAAAAAGTTCTCGAGGTCAGACAACAAGAGAGAGAAACACACACACACACACACACACACACACACACACACACACACACACACACACACACACACACGGACGGACGGGAGGATAGACGGACCTGACAGAGATGGACGGACGGAGAAAAAACAAACGGACAGAACTATATCTCCCACCTAAACCCTCCCCTACCCCCTCACCCACCCTCTAACCCACCTCCCAACCCACCCCACCCTCTAACCCACCTTCCAACCCACCCCACCCCCTAACCCACCTTCCAACCCACCCCACCCCTAACCCACCTCTCAACCCACCCCTTCATACTACCAGTCAAAGAGACAAGACATTAATTACCACAATATATGTCGAATTACCTTTAAAATCAGAGATTGTCGATGTTTATGAGGAGCTCTGGAAGTGTTTGTTTGTGATGTTTACTAGAGACTCTGTTTGTGATGTTTACTAAAGATCTTGGAGAAATTTGTAGATATTTCACTAGTGTTTAACGAGTAGTCTCTGATGTTTATTTAGCGATTTTAATAATAGTGTGTTTACAAGAGGCTGACGATGTTTATAGACTGTGGCGATGTTAATTAGTGACAATGTTAACAGTGACTGACGATGTTTATAGACTGTTAATGTGTATAAGCAGACTTAGACTGTACTAATGTTTATTATTAAGGTAATAAGTTGGTAATAAATATGTTGTGTTTACATTAACATCCCATTATGTGCATATATAAATATTCCAATTTAGTTTCATAATATAAATTCGCAGTTCGTTTCTTAATATACATGTCTCTTCTTAGTCTTCAGTCAAAATAAACAAATCAATTAACAAAGGGAATGAAAAGTATAATTTGTTGATAATTTTGGAGAAACAATGGGAAATATAAACTTACTTTAGATTTAATTTCGTTTTTTGTGTGTGTGATATATATAAAGTAACGGATTCCATTACGTGAAAAAAATTGATTATGAAAAGTTTGGAAGGAAATAAAAAAATCTTTATCCAGAGCTGCGTCAAAATTATCTCCAAGTTGTCAAAAATTATCCAGGTATCGCCAAAGTTTTACCTATGTGTTTCTAGAATTATTTCCACTTATCGTCAGACTTATCTCCGGGTTGCATTGAGTCGCGGTCACTGTGTTGTGTAGAAATAGTTCCAGAATTCTTATAAAAATAATATATATTTATCTCTAATTCTAATAAGTTTAAAAGAATTGTGTTAATTTCTATATTTTTATATAATCTATATTTTGTGTACTATATTTCACCAAACTTCATCTTTTTAATAATTATTCAGATATATAAACTAATATATATTTTTGTTATATAAATATTATCCCTGAAGATATATAAATTACCCTCATAGACTTAGTTTCATAGGAATTTTATCAGTTTTAAGTAAGTATTAATATATATATATATATATTGTTTACAAGTTTGCAAATTCATGTTGTCGCTTTGTTTTGACATCTTGAGGTAAAAGGGGCATAAAAGAACGCGAAAATGTGTTTGTTGACTTGACGTACCTCGTGTGTGTGTGTGTGTGTGTGTGTGTGTGTGTGCGTGTGTGTGCGTGTGTGTGTGTGTGCGTGCGTGTGTGTGCGTGTGTGTGCGTGTGTGCGCGTGTGTGTGCGTGTGCATGTGTGTGTGTGCGTGTGTGTGTGTGCGTGTGTGTGTGTGTGTGCGTGTGTGTGCAAACTATACAAGACCCCCGGTATAATTTAGACATGTATTATTAATAGGGTATATCGTTATATCAGCTATGGGACTATCGTTAAAAATATGTGACTATACCACATATATGTACTGCGTCTGGCCACGTTGGGGGGGTTACTCTGCTTTATGAACCTTCTCTCTCTCTCTCTCTCCCTGAACCTTCAACTCTTGGCTTCAGCGGTAATGAACAGCCCTCTTGAACCTTCTGATCATTCTTCCCTGAGACCAGAACGGTATTTGGTCTGTCTCTCACTGTCTCTAAACCTTCGTGAAAGAATCAGCTTTTCTCTTGAACCTTTTAAGAGAGATCGAGACATTGATAAAGTCTTTGATCCCCCCACCTCTCTTTCTGGAACCATTTACAGGAGAATCGACTCTTCTGGACCTTTAGACCACTCCACAGATCGGTCCGGGCAATATAATGGTCTTGGAATTTGCTCTGGAACCGTTTACGAGAAATATTCAGGTCCTCTTCCCTGTTGAACCCTATGACGAACCCACTTGAGAGGTCCGGGACAGTGAAACAGTCTTCGAACCCTCACTTGAACCCTTTGTATGAGACTCGGTTCTCCTGTTGAATCCTTTTGGCTAACATCCCCCCCCCCATTACCCCGTGAGGTCCTGGCAGTAACAGTGCTCAAGTGACCCCTCTGTCTCAGCGTCTGGCCAGAGTGAACGAGTGAACGAACTGTCTCGGAACAGTGACTGGTGCTTCACGGTGAGTCGAGGACTGAGGAGGAACTACTCCAGCGCTGCTACAAGACAGAACTGTAGTGAACAACAGTTATAAAACATTATGGTTGTGATATATTGTAGGCAGTGTGACGTCATGATTGTTAAGTAGATGTATAATGTCAGTGTTGTGTTATAATCGTTGAGGATAAATAAGAAAATGGTTTTATCAGATGATGTAAAGCATTTTGGTTGTTGTCAGTGTGTCACGTATCTTGTTGATATTTCACAATGATTTACAGAGTTGTGTAAAATACATAAAAGGATAATGTTGGCTGTACTAATTGTAAATCTTATATAAGATGGCCGTCAGGTAGTTACACCTACCTGGTTAGTGACGTCAGGGGATAGAATAATTCTTTCGCTGATTGGTAGCTTGACTCGACCAACCAACGAAGTCCCGTGACGTCACTAGTAAGGTAATGAACTCTGCGGCCAATCAGGAGTTGATTTTTCGACGATATTCTATGTTTACAAGACAAAAAGTGTTGTGCCACTCCACGTTACGCGTCTGGTGTATCTTACTGTTGACAAAGAATAATTGGCGCTAATTGTTACTTATATTCTAAAAAAAAAAACAAGAAAAAAGAAGCGAGGTGTGTGAGAATCGTGTAATCCAGGTTGAGTTGGAGAGAATGTTCACGTTTCAAACAGCAAAAGAAAGACACACAAACTCCCCAGAATTCTAAGACGACGTTTATATATCCAGAACTCAACCTGGATCTACACTGTAATGTGAGTGGGAGCTAATATGTATTATGAATGGCGTTAGTGTGAGGTTTACTGACGAGAGATTCTTCAACCTCTCTCTCTCTCTCTCTCTCTCTCTCTCTCTCTCTCTCTCTCGGCTCGTCTCTCAGTTTAGTCTCTCTGTCTCTTATCTCATCTATTTATCTCAATTTTGTTTCTCTCTACGTCTCTCTATGTTTTTGTTCTATTTCTGGATGTCTGTTTTATCTGTCAATCTCTGTATTCTCATATCTGTCTGTCTGTCTCACTGTCTCTCAACTGTCTCTCGTGGGCACTGGGTAGCCTCCTGGCACCTCCTCACCGTCCCATGTCATACACTCCATCCAACGCTCGTATCTGTGGCAATAAAACCTAACCTAACCTCATATTTTAATCCCTTATACCTCATAATTGTATCCCCCCCCCTTACCTTTATACCGACCCAACCTCATCCTGCTATTCCTTATACTATGATTACTTTCGTATCTTATACTACAGAGGTATTGTATTGTTTATAAATTGTTTTCCTTATACTTGTTGGATTTTATACTTATATTCCTTATACTCATATGTTGTAAACGTTAATTTCTGTTTCTTTTACTTCCCTATAATTTAATCTGACTTAATCTAACTTAATCTGGCTTAATCTAACCGAACCGGACTTATCTAACCTGATTTGACCTAGCCTAACCTGACTTGACCTAGCCTAACCTGACTTGACCTAGCCTAACCTGACTTGACCTCACCTAACCTCACCATTCTGTCGTTCATATCTGTTTAATTATTCATACTTTGGATTTCCACGATTTTCCTATTTTCAGATTTTTCTTTTTTGTTTCAGATTTTCCTATTTCTATTTAATGCCTTTCCCAGTTTTTTCTATATTTTTCATCCGATTTTAATATTTTTTTTAGTCAATGGCTTTTTTCCCGATTTTCCTATTTCTATAATTTGGCTTCGGATTTTACGTATAGCTTAACTTTGTAAATTGGCTAGAATATACTTTCACTTTTATCCATTGTTCGGCCTCCAGCGACTTAAATTTGAGTCAGCTTTCTCTTCCGAAACTTTCTCCTCAATACCTCATTATTTTCCTTAAAACTTTCAAAAATTTTTGCCCCTTTCATTTTTATATTTATGTAAGTTGTTACTTTTTCGTTTTTCTCTACTATGTCTTCTCCTTCTCCCCCTTCTCTTCTTCCTTCTCTTCTTCTTCCTCCTCTTCCTCCTCCTTTCACGTATATACTAAACAAGTTACGCTTTTCTCTAATGATAACTTGATCCAAAATCCTTTCTCCTCCTCCCCCTCAGTACCATCACTACCACCACCTTTCTCTTACTTTCTCTTGACAATAGGCTTCGTTTTCTGGTCATAGCGTCATCTCCTCACAACCAATTAAAAAAAATATACAAATTGGTTATATTTTTTAATAGATGTTTACGAGTCAAAGTAAAATCCAAAAAAAAAAGTAATTATATTTTCATGGATTACAGAATTATTATGTAATATTTTTCGGGGTGTATTTTTTTTTTTTTTTGTATTTTGAAATGTGTATATATTTGTCTGTAAGAGCTTTTGATGGTTGACTTATATTGTGGTTAAAGCCATTAGTGTTTAAGAACGGTTGTATATAGCACTTGTGATAGGTCAGTCAGGTCAGGTCGGGTCAAAGGTTAAAGCGACATTATTGAATGTATTTGTGTTGAGGTCATTATAGTCTATTGTTATTAAGTCGTAGTGACAATAACACCTTTGTTGTTATACACGTAATAGTAGAAGCTTTCTGGTGATATTTTAAAAGAACGTTATTGTTATTATTGCTGATAGTCTTGTTATTATTACTGTTATCATTGTCATTACTATTATCATTATTAATGTTAGTATTAATAATTATAACCAAAAAATGTGTTTTCATTTTCATTGTTATTAATATCATTTTTATTCCTATCATTGTATAATATTTATCATTATTTTATATCAAAGCAATTATCATTCATATAATTTGTATAACTTGCTAATAATATAAGAGTAATAATCATGGTAGTTAGACATAATCACCCCGGTACAGATACAGTTCTTAACACTGAGACAACAATTTAAACACTCTCCTCGTTATACAACATTTAACACACACAGACCAAGACATGTTGTATAATGTTTTGTATTATTCGGTGTTGAAGGAATCTGTCTACACTAATGTTCTACTGGAGTATAAAAGGTTACTGTTAGCTAATAGTTGGTCTCTCAAAATCTGTGTTTGGTCTTGCCAGTCTCAAATGTCTAGTAACTTGTTAAAACTGTAACCCCGTTGTGTGTTTACATGTGATAACTAACAACAGATTTAATAAATAATCAAATAAATTCACTAAATATTTTGGGCCTTCATCGTTTACAAAGTTTTGAGGCATCTGTGTTTGTTTTTAATGTGTTTCAAACGAGGAATTGTTTTTGTTTTTGAGTGTTTGTGTGTTTGTGTTGAGCCTCGTGACGGTATGGAGAGACCGAGAAGACGAGGTAGTGCAGTTAAATACACCAGAAGGCGCCTGATGTTAAGGTGCCGAGCAATAATACTTAAGAGTTGAGTTGATAGGGGTGTGTGGTGGTGTGGTTGGCCCTTCATGGTGAACTGTACCTGCCACACACACACACACACACCCCACACACACAGACCCACCCTACACACACACCCCACACACACAGACCCACCCTACACACACCCCCACAACCCCCTACAAGGCTCCTCAGTACAAGGTTCTAGTTAGTTGCTTCAGCTTCTGTAAACAGTACTTCCCTCAGGCAGACCACCACCACCATCTTGGTCGTGTGTGTGTGTGTGTGTGACTGTAAAACTCTGTAAGGTATAAAACTGTATCTCCACGTTACCTCTCCTGGTGTCTGATTTCTCTACCCCCCTTCTTCCCCTTTATAAAGTAGCTATTGTCGTCTACTATCAGAAACTGTAAGGCATTTATATATCATCTGTGTGATTTGTTGTGCCTTTTTAATGAACTATGAACATTGTCAAAGAAATAGTCACGTGTTTTCTTTTGTTTTAATCTGGAGGTGAAGAAAATTACTCATCTTCACTCCTCCCCCAGTGAACACTTCCCCCTCCCCTTGGTGTCATTATTCAAGTGTAATGATTCAGTGTTTTAATTTTTATTTTTTAATGTTACAGTATCCTCCCCCTCTCTCTCACTCTAAGATTTTTTGGAGATTTGGAAAGAAAACTAGAAGAGGCATTTATATATATACATTATATAGAAAGTATATATATATAGAGAGAGAGAGATAGAGATGTGTGTGTATAAAACTGATAAAATTTACGAGCCTTAAGGAGTAAGAGGCAAAACGATCCTAAATAAATAGAGCCTTGGATGACTTAGTATTATGTACACTAAACCCGTCTC